ATATTGGTAGATGGAGTTGGAGCTGTGTCTGGCCACAAGATCGTGGGTTAACAAGGAAAACAGCAGGGGGCTCAGCACACAGCCCTGAGGGGCATCTGTATTGACGGTCAGCGTGGAAGAAAGCTTTCCATCGACCCTCACAGTCTGTGGTCTGCCAGTCAGGAAATCCAGCATCTGCATAGAGAGATGCTGCTGCCCAGGTCATTCAACTTGCTGATTGGTCTGGATGGAACTACAGTGTTAAAGGCAGGGCTGTTGGCCTGTTCCTGAATACTCCTTGTCAGCTACAGTACAGTTTGCAGCAGGCAGGTCAGTTAAAGGTTCAACCTTGATTCCACTCCTTTCATAGGCAGTGATAAGCCCGTGCCATCTCAGCACTGTTCTTCGGTTTGAGTTGCGCATGATTGTATAGAGGTGGCACAACCAGTGCATTTTACCCCCAGCCAGCTTTAATCACACACCCGACTTCCTGTCAGACAGGCAGCTTGGTTCTGTTCTCATCTTTGGGGAAAAAATGAACAGGAGGCTTAATGGCTAAGAGCTCGACTTCGTTTTAACAGCGGCAAGCACTTCCCACTTCTAAATTAATATCTAATTGAACAGCAAAACTGCCAAGCCTCCTAGGAGGTTTAATGCAAGGCCCGGGTTTGCTTCAGATTGGCTCCTTTCTTGGCAGAGCAGTGGCTCTGTGGCTCAGGATCTGCACCTGTGGCTGGAAGGTTGCCGGTTCGGATCCCACAGCCGGCAGAGGAATCCTACTCCGTTGGGCCCCTGAGCAAAGCCCTTAACCCCAACTGCTCCAGGGGCGCCGTAAAATGGCTGACCCTGTGCTCTGACCCCCAGCTTCTCTACCTGTCTGTGTGTCTCATGGAGAGCAAGCTGGGGTATGCGAAAAGACGAATTCCTAATGCAAGAAATTGTATAGGGTCAATAAAGCAACATTATCATTATCATTATTATTAATTGCTGTCTTGAGCCTTTGTCCTGTCTTCCCTGTCTGCACAGTGCTGTGGGAGGTCTACCTGTCCCATCACGCACTGCTTAACTCTTCTCCTTAAGTACAGGTGGACATGTGAGCTTTTTAAATAACCAGTTCCTAGGAAATATTGTACGGATGCTGGAAAATGACATTTTCAAACGGCTGAGATCTTACCAACAGCAGGAATGCATTTGATGCATTTCCATCACTTTCAGAGTGTGGTTTTGGTTATTTTAGGCTCGTATTGGATGTGATTGAAGGATGATTTCAGCTCTGACGAGGGGAGACAGATTCCAGAACTGCCGAGGATAGATCCGAGCAGGGGTTAGGGTTAGCTCTCACTTAGTACAAAGCTATTTCTTTACCTCAAAGCTATATTTTGAGACCCAATTGAAATGTAGAATGATACTTTGCATCAATCTTGTTTTTTGTCCAGGTGTAGATAGATGTATATTTATTTCAACAGGCTTGACTTCGTTCTGTTTCAGAGTTGTTTTAGAATGCATCAGCAAGTGAGATGGGCTTTGTCATTTTTATTGTAGCCGAGAGATTTATCTGAGGTCTGTGGACTGAGGCTGTTCTTAACAGCTTTAATAAGCAACATTTTGTTAAGCCCTGTGCAGCCGAAATAAATAGGATTGGAGTGAAAAAGAAAAATAGGGGATGATGGTGGTTGAAATTAGGATTGCAGACAACAGGAGAATGAATGCTGAAGCGTCAGATGTTGAAATGTGTCTTCAGAGGAAGGCTTCTGAATGGAGAAAGAAGCATTTTGATTTAAGAGTCCCCATGCGGGGAAAAAAAGGGCTCGAGTGTTTGAGAGGTTTTCGAATTCTTGTGTCCCCTCCCACGAGTATAATTGTACATATAAAATTGCGTGCCTTCTGCTCCATTAGCAATCAGGCCATAAATATTAATGATTTGCTGTTGAAATACAGTTTTTTTCCTACTAACAGTGTGAGTTTGGAATGTTGCCTGTTGAGAAAAAATCCTCTCTTAAATAGTGTCCTTGCAGAAAGAGGGGTGTAGTGGACTGATTCCTTTGTTCATTATCCATACCTTACAGTAAAGCTTTATTTTTGGACGATAACCTCCTAAGAGCTGCTGTAGAGGAGTCAAAATTGCCTTCGTGGAAACTGGCACCGAGATGCCACTTCCTGATTAAATGCTGCACTGAGAAAGGACACTTATTTGTTTTTGCCCGATGGGTAACGTGCTTCCACGTCCACCTCAGGGCTGCTGAGGCCGGCCAGGGGAGTTCTCTCGTCTCGCAGTCCTGAAATCCATAGGGGTGTACCCTGGCGTCCTGGCCAAATTTCCCATCGGCCTTTATCAATCATGGCCTTCTAACAATCCCCCCTCTATAAATTGGCTTAATTACTCATTTTCCTTCCCAATCGTTAAAGATGCTAGGTGTTTTCTTTTTTAGGATTTTTATGCAGTGGCAGATACAATAGGCTTATTTCAGAGTCCAGATTCCGAACC